AGGTCCTCCAAGGGGACTCTATGGTCAGCTTCCTCTAGTCATGCTGGAGGACCTAGAGCTTTCTGGAGAGAATACCTTCTTAAGACTCTTTACGTAGGTCCTCTACTGTGATTCTACATTTAGTTTGAAGAAGTTGACCATAGAATGGTACTGGAAGACCTAGAAATTCTAAAAGAGGTTTTCGCTAAAGTAAAAAAATAGCAATTTCTTTCTATGCCCCAACCCCAGTGATTATATTTCTTGCCTGATTCCATTTAACTATAATATCATCATAGGTCAGAGTAGAAAGGATATTAGTTATAATTTGCAAGGAAACATTTGTATCGAAATTCTCAACAAAAGGACAATTACGTTGTACACTGACCAATAGGATAGATATTGTGAAGAATTTTTGTAGTTAGTAACTTATGCCTGTCTTTTTCTTTTGATGTTATTTACCTTATGCAATTACATTTTAGATGACTACAGAGTTATGTGATAAAGCATGGGACTTTTATAGCATTAACTTAAAAAGAATGTGCTTTGAGTAAGTATATGGTTATATTTATTTATATACACATCGAATTGAATTGTGACAAAGTGGCAGTACTTCATGCTGCATTGTAATAATAGAATTAAGGATCGGTTCTGTGAGGCTGGGAGTGTTCATAGCAACCACTGGTATAAGGAGAAAATGATTAGCTCAAGAGAATGACCCTTGTATTTTGTACAAGTTTTTATACTTACACTGTGTTTCACGCACAGCCTTCTTGCTAATATGAATGGTTATCAATGGGACTCTGCATATTGATGATTTAACTGTAAATGTAAACCAGATTTAATAATCCAATTTGCTCTATTTTGCAATCGTATTATAGTGGAACTATATTGTGCTTCCATAAGTGAGCCTACTATGATCCATGTGTGACAGTATAGCCACTTGAACCATTTTTGGTGGTTTGGTTATGAAAAAAATTGACTTAAACATGATATGTGTTCTTTGACCTGATCTATCTTAAAAACTAGCAACTGCACCAAGCAATGGCGGTCTGTTCTGCTGGTGAATGAGTTGTAGCTAGGTGATATTTCCAGCCACCTCCTACCAGTAATCTCCAATTTGACAAGGAATTGTGATGAAATGAAATGATTTTTATCGATAAGTCAATTGCCCTTATCAAAACACACAATATAAATATAACATACAGTATACATATAGTCCGAGTAAAAAAATATAAATATACAAGTGCAAAGAGAAAAAGTGGGGGTGGCCAACTTGTAACCAAATATACCTTAATCTTAAGTATATGCATCAAATGTCCTCACCCCCCTTACACTGTATACAAATCTGACAAGACAGAGGTTCTCCAGGCCAGTCGCTCGGCTGATCGGGGTATTGGGTGGCAACCTGTGCTGGATGGGGTTGCACTCCCCCTGAAATCACAGGTTCGCAGTTTGGGGGTCCTCCTGGACTCAGCACTGACGCTTGATGCGCAGGTGTCGGCAGTGGCCGGGAGGGCCTTCACGCAGTTAAAACTTGTGCGCCAACTGCGACCTTACCTCGTGAAGTCTGACTTGACCATGGTGGTCCATGCCTTAATTACCTCTAGACTGGATTACTGTAATGCTCTCTACGTGGGGCTACCCTTGAAGATGGGCCGGAAACTACAACTTGTCCAACGCTCGGCAGTCAGATTAATAACTGGGGCAACCTACAGGGAGCGGTCAACCCCCCCTGTTTAAGGAGCTCAACTGACTGCCAGTCAATCAAGCTTGCCTAGTGAGTACAAGGGAGAGAGCCTTTTCTGCTGTGGCTCCCTGACCCTGGAACTCACTGCCTGGAAAAATTAGGAAAGCCCCTTCCCTAGAAATCTTCAAAAAGAACTTTAAAACCTGGCTCTTCCGCTGCGCCTTTGATTAGTAGGTATATAATCCCACATGATTGCTCTGCCTCAAAGTTCTGTCATTGGAGTATACCTCCCCCCTCATGGGAAAGCTTGCTTCCACAACTCCCACTAAAATGAGCCCTCCTCTGTAAATTACCTGCTTCCCTCCTTTATCTCGCCTGAGTTTTTAATTAGTTTTAATCACTTTGTCCTTTTAATCACTACATGTACCCCGCCCATTATTATTGTGCCTGTGCATATTTTTATTTTTTATATTGTTATGTATTCATATGTTTTGTGTAACTATGATGTTATTGTTTATTGTTCGCGTTTTCGGTTTGTGTTTTTGGTTTTCTTTATTGTAATTGTCATTTGGGCTTGGCCTCATGTAAGCCGCTCCGAATCCCCATTGGGGAGATGGTGGCGGGGTAATAAATAAAGATTATTATTATTATTATTATTATTATTATTATTATTATTATTATTTATACTCTAATCTCCTTTTAGATGCTTTATACAGATAAATGGCAACTTTTGTTGTTAAAACAGGGTTATAACCAGCTAATAAAAATGATTGGGGATTCCTGCTTGTTGCTCCAGAGATTAATGATAGAAGACAGATAGAAATATTATCCTGCTGTGCCTCAGTTGTCAGCAGAACAGACCTCCATCACTCAGTGCTTTGGGCTGTTACGGTGGTCTTAGTGGACATTAGCCATTGTGCTAATAATGCCATGGTATAAACATGAATACCAGTTATGAATGCATCCATTTAACTTACACATTTGTTCAACAGGATGTTAGTTATATTGTTTAATGAAAGGGAGGTACTATGATACATTTAAAATCTGTTTCTAACTGTGATTATTTGCCTGCCATTCATATTTTCAGTGTAATTTCCTGCAGTATTACAGATAACATCTGAAGTCTATTTTCCACTTTCCATGGAGGCAGTGCAGAGATGCCTCCAAATACACATATGGTACATGCCTTTCCCTCTTCGCACTTTACTACATGCAGCTGTGCTGATCGCAGAACGTATTGTTATGGTCTGGCAACAATTTATATAAATAAAAATGTAATGTTCGTTTGTGGGATTAACATAACTCAAAAACCACTGGACGAATTGACACCAAATTTGGACACAAGACACCTACTAACCCAAGGAATGACCATCAATAAAAATGGATTTTGTCATTTGGGAGTTGTAGTTGCTGGGATTTATAGTTAACCTACAATCAAAGAGCATTCTGAACTCCACCAACGATGGAATTGAACCAAACGTGGCACACAGGACTCCCATGACCAACAGAAAACACTAGAAGGGTTTGGTGGGCATTGACCGTGTCTTTGGGAGTTGTAGTTCACCTACATCAAGAGAGCACTGTGGATTCAATTATGTATCTGGACCATATGTGTTTCATATGCCCAAATATGAACACAGATAGAGTTTGGAGGAAATAGACCTTGACATTTGGGAGTTGTAGTTACTGGGATTTATAGTTCACCTACAATTAGAGAGCATTCTGAACCCCCACGAATGACAGAATCAGTACAGACTTCCCATACAGAAACCCCATGACTAACAAAAACTACTGGCCATCCAATCCAACTCCCTTCACCAGGGCAAGAAAACATAATCAAAGCTCTCCTGCCATCCAGCCATAGATATAGATAGATATGATTCACACACACACACACAGATACAGTATCATCGATTTGAAA